CGGCCATTCGAGTCTCCTGGCTGGCGAGCGGGGTCTGTGGCCGTGCGAGGGGACACTGGCGGGTCTTTCCATGGGGTGCGACGAAAGTCTGAGGTTCAGTTGCCTAGGGTCTGGTGCAGCCCATTCGCATCTCCAGCCTGACGAGCGCATTCGCGAGCGCCGTCCCGTCGGCGACATCCTCCATCACCTTCGCTTCCCGCTGTTGCGCCACGCGGCTGCGGGCGAGGATGCATGGGTTACCTCTCGACGCCAACTGTTTCCCGTCCTTCTGACCGGTGATGGACTCATGTTGTCTGCGCTTCGAAATCCCGTCTCTGCGTCCTGCATCAGGCCACCGTCGTATACGCTGAGCCCTTGTCGAACGGTTGCGTCGTCGTTTGCGCTTTGCCGTCGTCTAAGAACTGCGCCTCGTCGAAGAACTGTGACCTTTCAAAGAGCTGCGCCGTCGTGGGCGCTGTCCCCTCGCCAAGGTAAAGTGATGTTCTGCCTGCCCACGTGTCGGCCGTTGGGCATGTTTGCAGGCGCATAGGAGCAGCCACGTCGCGCCACCTGTTTGAAGTTGCGGGGACGGCGGGAACAGATGTCGCTGACATTGGGCCACATGGTTTCTGTATGCCCCTTTGATTCCCGCTTGTTCTTTCCTCGTGAGGGGCCCCATGATTCTTGCTTGCCATCATCACCATCATCATCGCCATCGTCATCACCATCATCATCACCACCAACATCATCGTCATCATCATCATCATCGCCATCATCATCACCACCATCATCACCACCATCATCATCACCACCATCATCATCGTTATCATCATCATCAACATCATCATCATTGTCATCATCATCATCCTCATCATTATCATCATCATCATCATCACCATCATCATCATCATCATCATCATCATCATCATCATCATCATCATCATCATCATCTTCAACAACAACATCATCATGAACATCGTCAACGTCATCAACATCACCAACATCATCAGCGGCATCGTCGCCGTCATAAAAATCACCACCATCGTCGCCTTCGTCATCGTCGTCATCATCAACAGCATAATCCTCATAGTTACCATCGTCGTCATCATCTTCGTCGTCATCATCATCATCATCATCATCATCATTGTCGTCGTCATCATCTTCGTCATCATCATCATCATCATCATCATCGACATCATCGTCGTCATCGCCGTGTTGATGACGACGATGATGACGATGATGTTGATGATGATGATGATGATGACGCAGATGCTGACGACGACGATGATGATGATGATGATGATGATGATGATGATGATGATGATGATGATGACGAAGATGATGACGACGATGATAACGATGATGATAATGGTGTTGATGATGACGACGATGACGAAGGCGACGATGGTGGTGCTTTTTATGACGGCGGCGATGCCGCTGATGTTGATGATGTTCGTCATCATCATCAGCACCATCGTCGTCCAGAACAACATCACCACCATCATCATCACCAACATCGTCATCATGATGAACATCATCAACAGCATCAACATCAACATCAATGTCGTCATCACCATCATCATCATTATCATCATTTCGTGCCGCGTGTCGCAAGCGGTGGGGACGGCGGGAACGGATGACAAAGACATCGGGCCACACGGTTTCCGTGTCCCAGTCTGCTTCTCTGTCATTCGTTCCACGTGTCCCATTCTGCTATTCTTTCATTCGTTCCATGTGTCTCAAGCCCAACATTGCAAAACACTCCCGCGTGGTTACCCTAGTGAACATTGCAATACACTACCGCGTGGTTGTGGCAAACACGAAATTGCCTATTCCCAGCAGAACACGAACCCCCCCCGAAACACTTCCCTCGCATGTTTGTTGTTCTCATGAAATAGATTACACGTTGGTTATCACAACTGCGCCAGCAAGGACGGGTAGTGGTGGCGGCGGTGTTGGTGAGCGACAAGCGGGTGCGACATGGGTTGCGCGCGACCAGTGTTGGTATTAAGTGTCGCATGGGCGGCCACGGTGCGAAGAATGTCTGCCGTCCACGTGGCGTGCAGTGAGAGGGATGGTATTCATAAAGAGGAGGGGGTCATCGTTTCGTGTTCGTGTTCTCGTCACAACACTTGAGCCTCCCTCCCTGAAGAGACTATGGAGTCGATCCCATGAGAGCTTCTGTCGTCTCCATCCCGCGCAAACAACGTGCACATGATCCACCATGGAGGCCGTAGATGTTGCGCGCGCGCTCCTGGCGCTGGTCATGAGGGACGCGACAGCGCATTCCGCACGACGAATGCCAAGAGTCCCAAGACTGTGCGCGCAACATTTGCGGGCTCCAGAATGAAGAATGCACATGTCGGGTGCGCGCGATGGAGAACGCCAACGCCGCTCGCTACAATGACAATAGCGGTTCTTCGGCGTTAGCGCCGCATGTTTCGTGACAACAACCTCAACACGAAAACATGGCCTCGTTCAATAACGAACAACCCGGGGGTCGCCATTGTGACTGCAAGCGCGAAACCAACAACAACCAAACAGAAAATGGCGCGTGGCGTGTTGTTGCATGACGAATTGGGTAGTTCGGATCCCGACGAACTACAACAATCATGTGCACTGCTCTCGCGAAAGCGGCAATCAGTTGCCGTCGTGCGGTCGCAGGAAGAGCACGCGCAGGTATGAAAACAGCGCATGATTGTTGTAGTTCGTCGGCATCCGAAGTTCCCTTTTCGGCAAGCTTTCACACGCGACTGTCAGCGTGCGATGAATTTCGGATCCCGGTGCAGGGAGAGCGCGTGCAAGTATGAAAACGCCCTACCAGTTGTCAGCGTGCGACGAAGTTCGGATCCCGGCGGACTTGTGATCTCAAGCATGCGAAGTCGCGAGCTGCTCAGAGTCCTGGTTACATGATTGTTCTTTAGGAGGCGGTGCTGCAAATTTCAATGGGACCCCAAGAAAAGCAAAGTGTTTCATGCTCCCGGTCGAACGCGGCAACCGATCTCAAGTTCGGATCCGGGCGGACTTCGTGGTTTGGGGTCGCGCTGCGCCCGATTTTGTTGTGGTGCATCCACCACTACCCTTTCATCTACGCGTGCTGTCGTACAACGACAACTTGAGAGCAGCAGAGCCTTCCTTCTGTGTGGCCAAGAATAGTGTTTGTTGTGTGCACCCGCTGGCGCTCCGTTCCACTGACACCGGCCGCGCTAAAACAGGTTCTTTGCTACTCCAGCACCGGCCAAATTCGGATCTCGGCGGACTTCGAGGATCTGCGTGAATCTGACCGTTGTTTCCAACGGCTTGGACTTCTCCGTCCATCTTCAATGTCGGCGGCCTGGTAGTACGCGAAACTCCTTGCCTCGTGAGTTGGCCTGAAAGAGGTTTATTGGGGTGGACGACGGTGTCACTGGCCGGGTCCATTTCCGATGTGCCGTGGATCTTCGTTCATCGACGCCTCGAAATGCGGCGCGCCCGAGCATCGCCTGCTTCTATGCAAACGCCATCCGCCCGTTCCAAATGCGGGCGAATCCACCAAGTTCGGATCCTGGCGGACTTTGGGGGACGGCACAAACCTACCCGTCCTTCACATGACGCCTGGAGCTTCGAGTGTGAGTTGATTGCAAGAGGACTGTGGGTGCGAGAAATTGATCGCCCTCTGAAATGCCCTTCAAGGGGTTCATGGGAGTTTGCCGAGAATAAGGGACACGGACGTTGTCACCGTCGGCAACCCCCACAAACCCCTTCAAGGGCATTTATGAAGGCAAGCAATTTTCTGCATCCACGATCTGTGTTGCCCCCCAATGTTTTTGACCGTCGCGGTGTGCGGAGTCTTGTCGCAGACATGCTTCTGTTTCTGCGTGCTGTCCGGTTCGCGCTGTCACACGTCGTCGTTCTCGGCGCGCGAATTGGGGGTCGCCTTCTCGACTGCCCGAATCAATGTTTGGAAGGGTCGAAGGGGGGATCTTTCATCCTTTTGTACATTTTTCTTGTCTCCGGGGTGGAGATGTCGGAGTTCGATAAGCTCTTGCACTAATGCCTGTGAATGGAACACCGCACGAGCTCGCTTGGACGATGGTGAGAATCGGTGTTTATAGGGGTCATTTTGGGGTCGCGCTGCGCCCTATTGTGTGCTAGTGCATCCACCACTACCCTTTCTTCTGCGCGTGCTATCGTTCACCAACAAGCGTTCCTTCAATGTACCGAATGACGCTACCTTCCACTGACACAGGCCGCACGAAAACAAGTTCCTTGCTATTCCAGCACCCGCCAAATTCGGATCCCGGCGGACTTTGAGGCTCCGCGAAAATCTGACCGTTGTTTTCAATAGCTTGGACTTCCCGTTCCGTCTTCGATGCCGGCGGCCTGGTGGTGCGCAAAAGTGCTCGCCTTGTGAGTTGCCCTGAAAGGGGTTTATTGGGGTTGACGACGATGTCACTAGCCGGGTCCATTTCCGGTGGGCCATGGATCTTCCTTTATCGCCACCCCCAAATGCGGTGCGGCCGAGCATCACCTTCTTCTGTGCGAAAACCATCCACCTGTTCCAATACCTGCAGCCGCGCAAAAACCTGTTACTCGATGCAGGCAAATCCACCAAGTTCGGATCCTGGCGGACTTAGAGGGTCGGCGCAAATCTATCCGTCATTCGCATGACGCCTGGAGCTTCGAGTGTGAGTTGATTGTGATAGTACTGCGGGTGCGAGAAATTGATCGCCCTCTCAATAGCCCTTGAAGGGGTTCATGGGGGTTGCCGAAAATAAGGGACACAGTCGTTGTCGCATTCGGCAACCCCCACAAACCCCTTCAAGGGCATTTAAGAACGCGAGCAATTTTTCTCGCCAATGATCTTTGTTGCCCCCCAAGGGTTTTGGCCGTCGCGGTGCGAGGAGTATTGTCGCAGACATGCTAAGCCTTGTGTTTCTGCGTGCTGCGAGGTTCACGCTGTCTCCCGTCGACGTTCCAGGCGCGCGAGTCGGGGATCGTCTTCTCGACTGGCCGAATCAATGTTTGGAAGGGTTGCAGGGAGGATCTTTCATCCATTTGTGCATTTCACTTGTCTGCGCACTGGAGATGTCCGAGTTCGATAAACTCTTGCACTAAGGAATGGAACACCGCACGCGTTCGCTTAGACGATGGTGAGAATCGGTGTTTATAGGGGTCAGTTTGGGGTCGCGCTGCGCCCTATTGTGTGCTAGTGCATCCACCAGTACCCTTTCTTCTGCGCCTGCTATCGTTCACCAACACGCGTTCCTTCAGTGCACCCAATGACGCTACCTTCCACTGATACAGGCAGCGCGAAAACAGGTTCCTTGCTATTCCAACACTCGCCAAATTCGGATCCCGGCGGACTTTAAGGCTCCGCGAAAATCTGACCGTTGTTTTCAACAGCTTGGACTTCCCGTTCCGTCTTCGATGCCGACGGCCTGGTAGTGCGCAAAAGTGCTCGCCTTGTGAGTTGCCCTGAAAGGGGTTTTTTGGGGTTGACGACGCTGTCACTGGCCGGGTCCATTTCCGGTGTGCCGTGGATTTTCATTCATCGCCGCCCCCAAATGCGGTGCGGCCGAGCATCGCCTGCTTCTGTGCGAAAGCCATCCACCCATTCCAATACCTGCAGCCGCGCGAAAACCTGTTACTCGATGCAGGCAAATCCACCAAGTTCGGATTCTGGCGGACTTTGAGGATCGGCGCAAATCTATCCAACATTGGCAAGACGCCTTGAGCTTCGAGTGTGAGTTGATTGCAATAGGACTGCGGGTGCGAGAAATTGATCGGCCTCTGAAAAGCCCTTGAAGGGGTTCTGCGTGCTGCGTGGTTCTCGCTGTGTTCCGTTGACGTTCCAGGCGCGCGAGTCGGGGGTCGCCTTCTCGACTGGCCGAATCAATGTCTGGAAGGGTTGCAGGGGGGATCTTTCATCCATTTCTGCATTTTACTTGTCTGCCCAGTGGAGATTTCCGAGTTCGATAAGCTCTTGCACTAGTGAATGGAACACCGCGCGCGCTCGCTTAGACGATGGTGAGAATCGATGTTTATAGGGGTCAGTTTGGGGTCGCGCTGCGCCGAATTGTGTGGTGGTGCATCCACCACTACCCTTTGTTTTGCGTGTGCTTTCGTTCAACGACAACACAGCCTTCCTTCTGTGCGCCCAAACATGGCGTTCCTTGTGTGCACCCACTGGCGCTCCCTTCCACTAACACCGACCGCGCGAAAACAGGTTCCTTGCTACTCTACCACCCGCCAAATTCGAATCCCGGCGAACTTTGACGCTCCGCGTAAATCTCTCGGTTGTTTTCAACAGCTTGGACTTCCCAGTCCGTCTTCGGTGCCGGCGTCCCGGTAGTGCGCGACATAGCTCGCCTCGTGAATTGCCCTAAAAGGGGTTTATTGGGGTTGACGACGGTGTCAGTGGCGGGGTCCATTTGCGGTATGCCGTCGATCTTTGTTGCCCTCCAATAAAAGCAATCGTCTCGATGAGTGTGGTTTGGTCGCTGTCATGCTTCTGCCACGGCGTGCTTTGCGTTTCGCGCAGTAGGGTGTCGACATTGCGAAGCCGCTGTGGTGTCGAAGTCGTGCGGGCTGCAAAGGCTTTGAGTCACAGCTCACAACTTCCGAATCGACGTGCAGTTACTCGGGGTTTGCGGGGGTCGGTTGAGGGTCATTAAGCCATGTTTTTTTTTGTCTCCTGCCTTTCCTAGCCTTCCATTCGTTATGACGATTGGCCGATAGTTCGTTATGACGATTGGACGACAGTCTATTCACTGTGACCCGTTGATAACTGGTTGGCCGTCGATTCGAAATCAGCGAAGTTCGGATCCCGGCGGACTTCTGTGGTCCTCAACAGTTCGGTTGTCCCTTGCACACGTCTTACTCCTCATAGGACACGTCCTGCTGGGCGATACAGAAACAAAAATGTGTTGATAAATTAACAACAAAGATTCACGCCTGGCCCGTGGAGTGTCCGGCCCATAACCAAATATAGCCGGCCACTTGCAGGCAGCGCGGGGTAGACATCTATTAATGTGGGCTGCATTACAGGCTTCCTCATAAAGACTCACCATGCATGAGTTCGCAAACTATCGAAGCGATGGCATGTTATATGCTGTCCATACTCTCGTGGCCCTCGACGTTATCGAGGGTCTCATTCGACACTCAAGTGTCGGCTGACACGCGCCTTGAGGGACTTGGATCTTGACGCTAAACAACCGCCAAGACGGTTGCAGTACGTACCCTCTTCAACTTTCTGCGGGAGCGACGGGTGGGCGGGCCAAGGCCCTTTGTAGCAGCTGGGTTCCATCTGCGGAGGCCTTTAAAAAGGTCAAGGGGTTTGACTTTGGCAGCTGCTACGGACTTCAACGTCCAACTACAAAACTATAAAAAGCAAAAAGGGGAGGGGTGTCTCCGTTTTCTACTGGGGCAATTCTGAGCGCCGGAGTCGATGCAAGAAAAATTCGACTTCCCTTCGGCACTTGCATTCCAGGCATTCAAAGGACATCGATCTTTGCCGAGTTCGGATGTCAGCGCACTTCGCATGTCGCGGTTTGTGAAATCGTCCGTGCCACCCAACTATCAGACCACGCCTTCTATGTGCGGCAATTTGCCTGCAGTGGTTGTGATTGTCATTAGACGAG